CTTGTGCGAACGGCCATGCAGATGTCGTTCGATTTCTAGCAGGAAAGAAGTGCCAGCTAAACCCTCGTGACAATTCTAAGAAATCGCCGCTGATGAAGGTACATGGAATACGTTATGCTGTTGTACCTTGGGCTTATCGATTATGCACTGAGCGATACACACCTTGCATGATTCTTCACATTAGGCCTGCGTAGAAACAGGTACCTTGTAGTCAGCGGGGAAGGGGCATATGTTGCCTAATCTTTGAAGACGCTCGTACTTGCCAGTGTTGGGAAGACGCGGGAGTTCTGACAGAGAGAAACGTAGATGTTGGAAGTTATTCCTCCTTTGTGTCTTCTTTCCAGGCAGTAGAGCACCAGCACAAAGACTGTGTGGCTATTCTGCTGGAACACGGTGCCAACCCTGACCTCAGAGGTGCTGGCGGCAACACTGCCCTTCACCTGGCTGCCGCCATTCCTAGCAAATCTCTAGTGGAGCTGTTACTTGAGCACAATGCCCATATTGATGCTCAGAATAAGGTAAGCGTGGACTTTGGGTAAGGCTCCTCTTCCCACAACTTGCTTGACTTTTCTGTGTTATTGTAAGGGAGGTGATTTCTCCTTTCAGATGGGATACACTCCGCTTGCTGTTGCGATCACCGAGCACTGTGAAGAGATGGTCGAGTTCCTTCTTCAAAAAGGAGCTGACGTGCATGCTCGAGATAGGCATAAAAGGTGAAGGGTTTCTCAAAAGTGCGCGTGGGACTCCTTAGCATTGTTCAAGTTGGATTGATGGCAGCCATAGGAACGAGCTTTGAAAAAGAACCAGGAGCTGCTCGGAAGGAGCTCCTACCGCGTGACTTGTGACAGCACACCCCCACTCGGCTGCTCTCTTACCTCAGGGGACGATTTCTGCACTGAGGACTGCAAGAAAGCGTTGGCTGTGGTGCCACACACACGCGTGCGTGTGCACACACGCGCGCGCCCCCACCCCCCGAGTCTGCTCTGGGCAGGTGGTTGGCCTGGAGACCTCCTGAGGTCCTGCCAGCCTCAATTCTCCGACGCTTCCACGTGTTTGGCTGTGCTTTCACTCTGCCTGTAGGAGAGGGGAAATGAATTGTTTGGGGAGCAAAGAGGGACTGAAGTAATGGCAATGCAATGTCCGCAGAAGCTGATGTATTTCCTATCATCTCTTGGATGCTTTAGGACCACTCTTATGGTTGCTGTTGCTGCTGGGGATGTGAATGTAATACGACGACTTCTTCGGCATGGTGCTGATCTTTCTCATGAAGACGAGTTTGGCAGGACAGCTCTCTCTTATGCCAGACTGTCTGGATATGCTGAGTAAGTGTTTTACGTCCTCGTTAGAGCAGCTGCGTTCTCAGAACGTCCGTGCTGAGTACGGCCCTTTTTGGTAACATCACCGGGGTTTAATGAGGCGTTGAGTCCTTTGCTGAAGCTGGGCCCAGTGACGTCTTCTGATGCATCTCCTTCTGTGTCGAGAGTGGATTTGGAAGTTGAGGGAAACTTCCCCCCACGGTTCT